AGAGGAGATTGGCCAGAGGTGAGTCAGGAAGGAGGGACTTGGGCCTTGGGGATGGGGAAGGGTCAACAGGGTGCTCCTGATCTGGAAGTTCCCAGGAGGCCAGGAGCAGTGCAGGACAGCGGGCCACTGTGTACTGAGTGCGGGACATCCCAGCCACTCTGTACTGATCATAGACTCTGAGGTCAGAGATCTCACTGGTGACAAGGCTGCTGAGCCCCAACGGTGGCTGTGATCCAGGCAGGGGACAGCAGAGGTGGGACAAAGGGGCAGCCTGGGAGAATGGTCTCACTTACCTCCGCTTGGCCTCCTCTTCCTTGTGCTGCCTCCACTCCAGCTTGGTTTTTCGGTAGAGGAGGTTCATGTCGTGGGGCAGGAGGTGGGGGCTGGCAGCCTCTGCTCAGCACCACCAGGCCCGGGGGGCAGCCCTCCCTGGGTCCCGGATCCACTTGGTGGGAGATGGGTAGGAAAGTGAAAAAGAAAGATGTGGGATGGGTGGGGGCCATGAATGAATGAAAGAGAGAAAAAGGAGCAGACACATGACTTGGGTTCTCAGAGAGGAAAACACAGAAAACCCAACACAGCTTTGAGGACCCACAGACAGACAGACATAGACCTGCATGTGTACACAGAGCCACAGACCCTGACAAAGGTGTTCAGAGCCACAAATACACACTCTGGTGAGATCAGGTTGACACAGATTCCTTTTTTGTGTAAATACATCCTGATCCACTACACAGGCCTCACTAATGGCGAGCAGCCCCTCAGTCACACAAACACATATTCAGGCACATAACCATGGAACCACAGACCCCTATCTACAGACAGAGGACCAGACACATAGATTGGCATAGGTAAACAGAAACCTAGGAATAGGCAGGCACACAGAGACATAAACACCCACAGACACACCCACAGACACACACAGACCTCCAGACACACACAAATCTGCTACACGGGACTGGACACACCTACAGACAAGTTGTGATGTCCAAGGCCTACTTGCGTACATTGCACCCCACTGGGGAAGGGGAGATCGTCAAACTCTCCACCCACTTTGAGCTCTGAGGCTTTAGGGGGGGATGTCATGAAGGCAGGGTGGGGATGCTAAAGGAAGGGTGGGGGCTCTCTGAGTGGGGCATCTGAAACACCACCTATCCATCTCCACTCCCGTTGCCCCTTTCCAGTGCCTCCCTGGGCCTGGGCCTCAGTGCACCCAGATTCCTGCTCCCTGGCCCCTCAGCAGTGGTCTCTGCCTCCCTCCCTTGCTGAAGGCACAAATCACCTTTTTCCTTCTGCAGGATTTGGGATGCCCCCCCCCACCCGTCTTTCCTTTCCAGTCCGCGCCCCTCAATCCCACCCAGTGGTCTCCAGTCTGGCCCCATAGCTACCTTCTGAGTTGCGGCCTCCAGACCTGCTCTGGGTTCCCTTCCCCCAAACACACACTCTCCTTTTTGCCTTCGGCCTCACTTCTCCTGGGCGCCCCTCCTCACTGCCGTCCTCCCCCTTCCCCTGTGTGTTCAAACCTGGCCTGCTTCATTCCCCCTTCTCCATCCAAGGGCCCCAGGTTCTCGGGCACCTTCCCCTTGTCCTGCTACCCTAGGTTTCTCTGCCTCTCGCTCCGCCAATCCTCCCTGCCCCTAGTTCCCTGCCACCTCCCCGCACCAAGCCTTCCCAATTTCTACATCACCGTACCTGGCCTGCCGGGCGCCGGCCCCCCCATGCCGGGCTCCGCCCGGAGCAGGAGGAGGAAGGAGGAAAGACAGAGAGAGACCGGGGGGAGCGGAGCTGGGCCCTGCCGCAGAGACAGCCCCGCCTCCGGGTCCGCCCCCAGACCCGCCCCCGGCCCCAAACCCACCCTTCCACACCCTCCAAGGACGGAACAGGAGCGGCGGTGCCGCGGTGTGCTGCCAGGTTGGGGCGGGGGACACGGTTGTCGCGGAGCCCGAGGGCGGAGAACCGGAGGAAGAGAGTAGAGCACCGGGAACCAGCTCGCTCCAGCTTTGGGGAGTCCGCTAGTCGTCGCCCCTCGCCCCCTGCCTGGCCGGGGGGTGCTGGGTTTGGTCTCCTAGGCCCCGGCGGAGCGGCGCTCAGCGGCGCCCCCCAGCGGCATCCTGGGGCCCGCTCCCACCCGCACTTCTCATACGCCCGGCGCTCCCCGGGTCCACACTGGTTGTTGGACCCGGGTCGAGGCTGCGGCTGCTGGGCCCAGGGTGCGGTGAGGCGCTGAGGTCGGTGGGTGGATGGGGGCGCTTTTCCGGCCGAGAGGCTGCTAGAGCCGGGAGCCGGACGATCGGCATCTCTGTCCGGCAGGGGGCGTGCTTCTTTGGCCGCACCCCCTCTTCCTGGCCGCCTTCTAGGTGCTGGGAGGGCACCCGGGTTGGTTCGTCTGGGTGCTCGGCCGCCTCCCCCTGCAGCCTCCCTGGCGCCCGGACCTTGTTTCACCGACTGGGCTCAAAGTCTTCCGCCGGCCCGCCCCCTTCCGTAACCTTTGACACCACCACTGCTATCCACCAAGACCTGGGCGCACCACGATCGGCCTCTGACTGGGATTACCGCAGCCACCGTCCTAATGTGGTCGCCGGCCGCTGAGGGACGTGACCTTGTTCCCCCTGCCCATCACTTTTCTCATTATCTCCCTGAGAAAGTCCTCCCTCCAAAATCCCTTTGTCACACAGCTCTGTTGTGCAGTGAATTAGCTTCAGGAAGACCTGAGTTCTACTCTTAACTGGCCTAAATATGGATCCCTAAAAGACGCATTCTAATTTCTGGAACACGTAAATGCTACTTTATGGCAAAGCCTTTGCAGATGTGCTGTGTGGGCATAGGAAAATTGCACAACCTGGCTCGGCGCCTATAGCTCAACCGGCTAAGGCGCCAGCCACGTACACCTAAGGTGGCGGGTTCGAATCCCCAGCCTGGACCCGCCAAACAACAATGACGGCTGCAACCAAAAAAATAGCCGGGCGTTGTGGCGGGCGCCTGTGGTCCCAGCTACTTGGGAGGCGGAGGCAGGAGACTCGCTCGAGCCCAGAAGTTGGAGGTTGCTGTGAGCGTGATGCCATGGCACTCTACCCAGGGGGACAGCTTGAGGCTCTGTCTCAAAAAAAAAAAAAAAAAAGAAAATTGCACAACCTTTCTGAAAGATGCTTCGTCCCATCCGTTGTTGGAAGGAAGGTGCACAAAGAGATAAAATACTACTAAAGCGTCTTGAAGTGTAAAGCTCCTCCTCCCCGCACATTAAAGGCTATTCTAAATGTTCCCAGGAGAGCTAAAACCTTAAAACAGATAAAAGCCATTTCACATTTACACAAGTATGAATTAATTTATATGTATTCATTCAACAAACACCCTAGTATCCTTGAGAGACCAATAATGTTCCTGGGAGTTTAGACACGGATACTGAGTGCCTGAGGCAGAGAAGGAGGGGCCAAAAGTAAGTTTTGAATAGTTCGCTGCAAGTCAGCTAGAAGGAAGGAGGGTAGGGGGAGAGAAGCCAAAACTGTGTTCTGAATATTGTCAGAGGGGAGAAGGCTCTGGAGGGGACAGCAGGCCAGGGTCTGGAGGTGAAGGGGGCACTCTCATGAGAGGCTGCTTCTTGAACCTCACAACTTGAGAGGCTTCTGGACCTGGGGTATGTCAGCCATTGTTACTATGGCTAAAGGGAGAAAGCAGGGTGCAGATGTATTTTATTTTAACAAAGAGACAAAATAAATATATAAGGGGGCAGGGATTATATTGTTTTATTTTTGCCAAACCCTAAAGAGTGGTTAGAAATTTCCATGATCTCAAGCTGAGAGAGGAGGAATGTGGAAAAGAGTACTAGAATAGAAGTCAAATAGCCCACTTATAGTCTGGGTGCTATCAAATACTAGCTCTGAGGCCATGGAAGAATGACTGAATGCTTCTCAGCTTCAGTTTCCTTAGCTGGACCTCAAAACTCACCCCATCTCTCTTCTCAGGACTGTTTTGCAATCCAGTGAGATAATATGAGATTTTTGAGATAATATACTGGAAAGTAGTTCTATTTGACCAAAATTAATTAGAATCCATTTCCTTTTGAACCTGAGAGTTAGGGCAGATGCAGCCTTTAGATACTCTTTTTGCTAAAATATCCCCCCCTTAGAATGTCAGTTAGGGGTGCAAAGAGAGAAAATGGCCACTGAAGGTTTATTCTTTCATGCCAAGCACATAAAAGGCCCTGTAAGAGTGTATGTGTATTTTCCTCCATAAGAACCATGGTGAGATGGGAGAGGTAGGAACTCTTAAAGGTAGAGGAGGAATCTATGCTTGTCCAAGCCAGCCGACCTTAGTCCTCAGGTGCATCTGTGTAGGTCACTGTATGGACATATGTGTGTCCAGAAGTTGAAGGGAAAGTAGTGCAGGTCAGCTCCTGTTGGGATTTGATTTCAAATAGTTCAGCAAAATACAACAGGTCCTGGAATAACATCATTTGTGCTGAATGTCATTTCGTTATAATATAGATGAGGAAAAAAATGATTTCTGGATGGGACCACTGTCTGTGTAGAGTTTGCATGTTCTCCTCATGTCTGCATGGCATGTTTGAAACATTTGATAATAATCCACTTTCTAAAGTAAGGAGTAATGGAATAATAGTTCCTTCCCCATGCAGTTACTGTGAAAACCAAAGATAGGACAATAACAGCTACAGCCACCCCATAACATTTACGAGGCATTTATGGGAAATCATGCACCCAGTACGTTGCCTGGTATGTTGCTTATTGCCAGTGGCAGCGTGCCTACTAGTAAGGGAATCCCAGGCCTCCTGCAAACTCCTCCCCTTTCTCCTAGCTCTCCGCAGCCCCTCCCTCCGCGGAAAAGCCGGGCTGGGTCCCACCAGGTGTGGAGTTAAAGGAGTTTGTTGGGGCCCGGGAAGCAGCAGCAGCAGCAGCAGCAACAACTGCAACAGCAGCGGCTGTGGCAGGCTTGGCTCAGGGCCAGCTGGCGGGGAGCCCCAGGAGGGAGGGAGGAGGAAGAAGGGAAGGAGGAGGAGGAGAGGAGCAGTCAGCAGGCCCGAGGAGGCAGGACTTCCTGGTGTGGGGGTTGTCAACAGCCCAGAAAGAGAAAGACAGAAAGACAGAGACCAAGAGTAGAGGAGGAGAGACCGAACCAGCGGGGCCACGCGGAGGAGATTAGGGAGACCCACCCGCTCAGACCGCGGAGGCCGGCCGCCCCCTCCCACATCGGTTTCGACACCTTTGGGGCTTCAGAGGCCGCGCCTGGGCTCCACCGACGAGGCGCGGGTTCCTTCTTTTCAGGAGAACAAACTTTCCACAGAGATGCCTCCCAGGGTGAAGTGCTGCCCCCGAGAAGGATTGGGCAGCCTCTGATCGCTGCTTGCGTGTTCCGCATTGCCCGGGGCCGGGAGGCCCCAGGAAAGAACAGCCCGACATCTTAGGCGCTGGGACCCCCCGCTCGGCTCTGTGGCGGAGGCCCGAGAGGTAGGACTCCAGGCTGGGCGGGGCGCTGGGGCGGCGGGGTAGGATCTGCCCCAGAGATGTGGGAGCCAGGGGCCTAGGGGCCCAGGGGAGGCCCTAGGGCGGCCGGGCGAGACCAGGGAGCTGCAGCCAGTACTCTCAGGACGATTCAGGTCTGCACAGTCTCTTGAGTTTGGATCCCAGACAAGAAATGCCTAACTTTGGGTCTCAGCTGCCTCTTCCTGCTCTGTGTGCCTGGTCTCTGTCTCTTTGCCTGTCTCTTTGTCTCTGGCGGTTTTCCCTTCCTCCCCCATTCTGCTCCCCAGAGAGGAAGCCCCAGAAGCCCCAGAGGTGGCCAGCCCACTGCTTTCTCACTCATGGGCGCGCTCCCTCTCTCCCTCTCTTTTTCCAGTTTGCAAACTCAGCTCTGGAGTTCGGCAGTGGCAGCAGCAGGAAAAACCTGCCCGGGCCCCCCCACCTCCCCGTCACCTCCCCTACCCTGTACTCACTTCACCAACCACGCACCCCCAGTTCCTGCAAGGCTCTTTTCTGCTATGTCGGACCCAGACATCCCTAGGGGCCCTGATGCCCCCGCCATGTGGCCCCCCTGTTCCAGGGGTGCCTGAGCCCCTAAAAGAGCCCCAGACTCTCATCTCGGCCCAGTCCTGAGCCCCAGGAACCATGAGTGGGGGCAGGAAGAAGAGTAGTTTCCAAATCACCAGCGTCACCACGGACTATGAAGGCCCAGGTAGCCCAGGAGGTTCAGATCCCCCTGCCCTGCCGGCTCCTACTGGGCCCCCCCGCCTGCCCAATGGGGAGCCCAACCCTGATCCAGGGGGCAAGAGCACCCCCAGAAATGGCTCTCCACCACCTGGAGCCCCTGCCTCTCGTTTCCGGGTGGTGAAGCTGCCCCACGGCCTGGGAGAGCCCTATCGACGAGGTCGTTGGACGTGTGTGGATGTTTACGAGAGAGACCTGGAGCCCCCAAGCTTTGGCCGGCTCCTGGAGGGAATTCGAGGGGCCTCAGGAGGGACTGGGGGCCGATCTTTGGATTCCAGGTTGGAGCTGGCCAGCTTGGGCCTGGGTGCCCCTTCCCCACAATCAAGCCTGTCTCAGGGCCCCTCCTCCTGGTTACGCCCACCCCCTACTTCTCCTGGACCTCAGGCCCGCTCCTTCACTGGGGGGTTGGGCCAGCTGGTGGTACCCGGCAAAGCCAAAGTGGAGACATCCCCCCTGTCAGCCTCCCCACCACAGCAGCGCCCCCAAGAGCCTGGGACCAGGGATAGCTTGGGCACTTCCCGGGCCACCACACCCCTGCCCTCCCTGAGGGTGGAAGTGGAGACTGGGGGCTCAGCAGCTGGAACCCCTCCACTGTCTCAACGGAAAGATGGAGATGTGCGACTGAGGATGGAGTTGGTTGCTCCAGAGGAGATGGGGCAGGTAAGAGCTGGGTTCCAAGTTGTGGGAGACCCCTGGGAGGCTATGCCTTGTCCTAACCTCTGTCCTGGCCTCCCTGCCACCATTGTCACCTGTCTGTCAGATCATATAGCCCTATTTTCTCTCTTTGCCATCTCACTTTGAGGTCCATTTCTCTTCTTTTGTTATCTTTCTCAGGCTCCTTCCCTTCTTTCTGCACCTTCCTTCTCTCTGACTTTTCATTGTCTCTGGCCCTCGGCTTGTCTCCATATAGCTTGTAGCATATGTGGCCTCCTCCTCTGGCACACACCTTTTTTCTCTCTTGGTTTTACCCTCTCTGATTCCAGGTGATTGGGGCTGGGGCTGGCCAGGTAGCTGCCCCCAGGGCAAGGAGAGATTAGATGGTCATTCTACTTAAGTCTCCCCATTGCCTCCCATCCTCCCATCAGCCATCCATCCCAGCCTCATCTCTGGCATGGTTGCAAGCCAAGTTTCTCTGAGGATCTAAGGAGTCAGGTGGGGGGGGGACACATTACAGGGATGGGGGGCCTTGCTCATTTTGTCCCCTCCACCCAGTTGTCTGGCTTAGTTCCTGCATCTGGCCTCTCCAGGACTGATAACTGGGGGTGGCCACTGTAGAGTGGGAGAACAGTAGTGGAAAGCAGCTAATAAGAAGTTAAATCCTTTGCTCTTTTAGCTTCCTATCTCCAAAAGAAGAACAAATCTGGGTTGGGTGGCAGGATGCCCGGGTCCCTGGGTTGGGGGTGGGCAGCCAGGGATGTGAGGGTTGGATACTTCTGTCCTGAAGGAGAAAATGACACCTTGTCCTGCTGGAAGAAAGGCAGGGAGTGTGAGGATGAGAACTCTTTCCCCTTCCTGGCCTTGGGCACAAACCACAGAATAAAAATAACCTGAGACTGGATGTCTGGGTCCTGTCAGGACCGGTCAGGACCAGCTACCCGGACTCCCTCCTGGCCTTATGTTCTTGTTCGTTATGACCCCCATCCCCCACTTTTCTTGAGCTCTTTTATTCAGTTTCTTCCCTAGGGGGAAGATGCTGTTTCCTTTGCTAGTCCATGTCCCCAGACTATTCCAAACTATCCATCCTCTTTGCTCTACCTGTCCTTAAGCCCTGCCTGAGCTCCCCTTGGGACCCTGGCCCTCTCTTTGGTGTCCTGACCTTCCTTTCCCAGTGTCCTGATGGCTTCCTGTGTGCCATGCTGCATTCAAGTCAGTATTTACCTGCCCAAAAGTTTGTCTCCCTTGTACCATCCCCCATGCTTCTGCTCCCTATAAAGACGGAGTGGTGGAGAAGGGCCAGGGATACCACCTGGGCCCCTTTCCTCTGCTTTATCCGCTATCCTCTAACCACCCTAGATTCTCTGTTCCTGGCTTTTCTGAGAAGCTAGGGCCTCCTGGGGCCTCACAGAAGCGTCTTGTCTTGTTCCTGTTGCCCCCGCCCTTTTGCAGCCACCCCTAGGCCTGTTGGGCTGTGTGGGTCCACACCCAGGCTCCACCTCCCTCCATCCCTCTCCCTGAACCAGGGCAGAGAGCAGGAGCAGAACTTCACCTGAGTCCTGAGAAGTTTGGAAGGAACGGCTAGAACAGGGGGTGGTGGGGGAGGATGAAGAAGCTGTTCTGAGGATTCATTCATTCTACAAATAGCTACTGTACAAACTGACCTTCCAGCAGGGGAGACACAATAAGTACTTTAATTTCAGATAATGTTAGGTGTTATAAAAAAAAAATGAAACCATTCAGTGGACTAGTGAATAATGGGGAAATGCCTCTCTAAGGAAGTGACATCTGAGTTAGTTTAAGAAGGCAGATATTCTCTGAGTAGCCTCTGATTACAGGTCCTGGCCTGGCTTGGGGACAGTAGTGCAGACTGGAGCACTTCTCTGTGATACCCCAATTTGCCACTCACCCCAGTCTTCAGGGTGACCTGTGTCCCTTCTGATACTGACTTCCCCAGAGCTGGATGGGGAAGGGCTGCAGGGCAGAACTCCTCGGTCCTTGGAAGACAGTGGTCAGTGGGGGAGGGAGGAAGACTGCTCAGCAAGTTGTAAGGTGGCTGGTAATTTTCTCAAAGTTATGATTCCTTCCCCTCTGCCTCCAGGTGCCTGCACTTGATTCTCGCCCCAGCTCCCCGGCATTCTACTTCTTCCCTGATGCCAATCAGGTTCACAAGTCTCCAGACCCCTTTGGGGCAGCAGCAGCCCAGAGCCTCAGCCTGGCCCGCTCCATGTTGGCTATCAGTGGTCACCTGGACAGTGATGATGATAGGTAGGTGTGCTCCATGTGGTGGGCCATGAGGTTTAGCCTCTTTATATGGTGCCTGGGGATAGCTGCATGAAATTGCCTGGTAGGTGTCCTTCCCCCAAGTTGAACTTGGAGAGGACCTTGTAAACAGAAACCAGGCCTGGGCATAACCACTGGGGAAAGTTGATTTGGGACCCACTCCCTCTCTGTGGAGAAAGCTGAGTGGGACTTCTTGGCTTAAGACTGTCAAGTCAGAGACTTTTTTAGAGTTTGAAGGGAGTCATTGTTGTCAAATTCCAGAGCTTTTGCAGATTTAGTGATCATCTGGCCAACCCTAGGAACTTACTGGTAAATGTGCTGGGACAAAATAGGGAATCAAGTCTCCTCCCAGTTTCATTTCCTGCTCCCTTCACTGGTGAGGGGAATGGGACTCCTTACATCCCTTATGGACTGTGCTGTACCTTCCTTATAGTTTATACAGATTAATTTAGAACCGTAGAACTTCTAGTACCAAGAAAGCATTGCCTCGAGATTCTGTTCCCTGAAGGGATGGAGTCAGCAAACAGGCAGGAGTAGCAGCATGGGAGCTGAGCCCTCTCATGGCAAAGCCATGGGGAGAGCTTAGAAGAGCAGGACTTCCTGGGGCTTGCCTTTTGGAGGAGAATGCTCTCTTTGGTGGCAGCATGTGCAGAAGTTCCTGTTTTGAGGTCCAGGTTTCAACATTAAAAGGAATGTCAGCTCAAAAGGGAGGCACAAAATCGCGAGTCAGATAGGCAGACCACTTGCTTCTGGCTGTGGACTGATAGGAACCCAAAGAAGGGCCAGGGACTCGCCTTTTATTTTGGAGGGAAGAGTGGGACTTCCTGTCAGAGGCCCTCGTGGGGCGGGACTTCCTGTTTGGGAGGAACCGAGGGGTGGGACTTTAAGAGTGGGTGAGTGGGTGCTAGAGGAACCCACTCCAGGTGGCGGTAGGTCTTTCCTTTGCTCCCTCCTCCAGTCAGAGCCTAAAGCCCACTAAAGAAAGAGGCATGAGGCATTGGGGACCCGCAGAGGAAGAAGAAGGGGTGCCAGGAAGGCGGTGGGTTGGAGGGCAAAGGGGGCGGCGCCGCGGGCGGGTAGGGCGGGGCAGGGCGGCTTCAGCACTCTGGAATGTAAGAGGTGTGAGGTCGGCCAGGGCCAGGAGAGTCACCTGCCCTCCTCGCTGCTATTCTCAGCGCTTCTCACCCCCTCCACCTCCCACTTGGGAGGTTCCCTGGCAAGAAGGCTCTTTGTCCCTCCCCCACCCCTGTTGATTTCATAGCCCTCCTGCTTTTTTTGCCTTGGAGGGTTCTCATCACTTGGTTCTTTTGGTTTGTGCACTCCCTCTGTACACCACAGTCTGACTGGTTTGGCTCCCAGCCTCCAGCTTTACACTGCTGTGCTTCAAGGCTCAGGGGTTCTTTCCCAGCTCAGCCCCTCATGCTTCACCCTGCACAGAAGGTTTGGGTTGGGCCAGCCCATACCCCAGGAATGGGGCATGTAGACCCCCACCTCACCTGTCTGATGTGCTAGAGCTGTCAGGAAAGCAGGGTCTAAGCGGCTTGTGGTCTGAAGTGTTAAGAACCTGGATCCCAGTCCCAGAGTTGGGGGTGCCTGATCAATCCCTGAATCTAGGGGTGGGGGAACTGAGGGTACCTGGTGAGCTTAGACTGCTTATGTGCTCCTGGCTTGGAAGATTTTTTGTATTCCCAACAGGGCCTGGCAGGTGGGAGGTAGTTGGTTAAGGTGCAGGATGGATGGATGGATGGTTAGATGGATGGGTAGTCAGCCTGGGAGATCCAGGCATTATAGGGAATGGAACCTAGGGTCTTGGGAAATAAAAGGTACATGTATTTATCCAGTGCTTCCTTTTATGTGCTACCTCTTAATGTAGTCCTAAAAGCAGTTCCCCGCCTTTCCAGATGAAGAATCTGAGACTCAGGAGGAGGGTTTTATAAACTTGCTAAGATCACCTAGCTAGTAAGTGGCTGGACTACAGTCAGAGTTTGGGTCTGACCCCAAAGTCATGCTCGTCCTGCTCTCTTACTGTGATGCCTACGTCCCAAGAGAAGAGGAGGTAGCAGTGGTCTCTATGATACCCTTTCTCTCTAGGACAGTGTCAGGGACAGCTCTCCGCAGTAGGGCAAAGAGCCAGCCCCCCCCCCCACCTTCCCCCTTCCTGGCCTGGCCCTGCCCTGAAGGCGCCACAAATCCAGATCCGGGAGGGAGTGTAGACAGGGCAGCCGGATGCCACTTTGTTGGCCTCAGGCCCAGCCCCCGGGGGTTCCTCAAAGGAGTAGGACTGGCCCCTGTCCCCAGGATCTGAACCTCCCTACCTCTCCTAGGTGTCCTGCTTCTTCGTTTGATCCTTGTGTTGAAGCTGTTTTATTTGACCTTCAAAGAGGAAGATAAGCCTCTAGGCCTGTCCTTAAACCAGGACCCAAGAGTCCTGAGAGCTAGAGTCCCCACTGTGCATGTCACCACTGCACAACTCCAGGGGGTGCTACTCAACATTTGAAATCATAGCTGATGCTAGAGGTCATGACAGTCTTCCAGAAGATGGCCTTCGGTGTCTTGAAGAAGGGGGCTTTTTATTCTAATTCACACAAAGTTGCTTTTGGGTTCGTGGTGAGGGCTGATCCTATTCCACCAAAGAATTCTACACAGTGGCCCCTCACTCAGGGTACACAAAGGGAGGGCCTGGGTTGGCAGAAAGCTGGTCCCTTGAAACCTGTGTTAGAATGTCATAGTGGAAGGTGCTGTCAAAAACTCTGTAGCACTAGACAAACCAGAGATAGTCATCTATCAGCCAAGAAATGTTTATTATTGTATTATTCTTTTATTTCTGGCAAGAATGTACAACTTACTTGGCATCTTCACCCAAGTGTCCATCAAGCAAGGCCAATGTTTAGTCCTATGTGTCTGTCCCTGTTTGGTCTGTGTGTGTCTTATGTGTACTTGGCGGGTGGGGGGTGGGTGGCTTTTTTGCTGTGGCCCAGTATCTGCCCAGGTGTTACTGATTGAAATAGCTTGAAAACTGCTTTCACTCTCCCACTCCCTGGCCTGCCCTCTCGCTCTTAAATGTCTCTCCCCACCCTTCACCCTGTCCTGCTCTCAGGTCTAGTCACCCCCTTGGTTGCTCCACCTATCAGCACCTTCTGCACCCAGAGTTTGGACAGGAAATGGAAAATTTCAGCTCCCTCACACTTTCCTGGCTGCCTTATCCAGGGGTCACCTTGAATTGAATGCTACTCCCCCCCTGCAGGGAAGCCAATTGGAGTTGACAGCCAGGAGGGAGGGCTTCCAAGTGAGCACAGGGTGTGGGCTGTAGCATGTTGGGGCCCCCTCTCTGAGAGAGGCTTAGCAGGGGCCTGGAGGACAGGGCTGGTGATCTGATCTTGTAGCACAGCAGGGCAAGGGGAGAGGGAAGGCATAGGGGCTGGGGCAGGTCATGGGCCACAGGTGAGTCAGAGGCCTGGGACCTGAGTGGTAGAAGAGGGTGCCCTGGGGAATGAGACAGGGTGCAAGAGCCTGTGCAGGCTATAAGCCAGGAGAGAGGGGCTTGAGGGAAAGGCAGGTTCTGGAACCCAGAACCTAGCGTAGGGTGGGGCCAGCTGGGCCCTGGTTCTGAGGGCTGTTGAGCCAGGCCTGAGTTGCCCTCTGGTGGCCACTTTACAAACTGCAGCCAGTCCTGCTCTCCACTGCCTGTCATTCTCCAGGCTGTCTTCAAAGCCCTTGCTCCTATGCTTAGTGTCCCACCTCCAATTTCACCTTCCTACCTCCCCTGAAGCTGTCACTCCATCTAAGACTGCAGACCTCCAAGATCCCAGACCCAGGTTGCAGATCCATAGGCTGTCTTCGTCCTGCAGGGCTCTGGCTCAGTTTCCACTGCCATGCTAATCTTTCCCATTCCTCCTTTCCTTCACTGTGGAAGGTGAGGGACCCTCTCTCCCAGGCCCCAGGGTTCACCCTTGATGTGAGCTTTGTGTTTAGGGGGTGAAGTCAGTCCTTGGAAGACCACAGTATGTGAGAACCTCCCCCTACTCCACCGGTCCCTTTCCTGAGGCATTGAGTGACCAGCTCATCTGAAGGGGGCAGACGGGGTCAGGGTGGGGTCAGGATCTTCCCCACCTTTCACATCCTTCCCAGACCCAGGCTTCTTTCCCTGAGGCCCCTCCCCAGACCAGGCCACCAGCTGACTTTCCTCCACCAGCCCCCTCCCCTGCACTCTGGGATTGATGCCAGGGTGAGAAGGGGACACTGGCACTGACCGTGTCTGGGAATTCCCGCCCACCATGGAGTCAGCGGGGGGGGGGTCCCCGTGTGCCTGAGGAGCCAATAGCAGCCAGGCCTTGCCCTGGGGGGTGGTGTATATCTTTCAGGCCAGCACCCCCTAGGCGCTATCTCCTCTCTGCCTGCTTGGCACCAACCAGACCCCACTCTGCCTGGGGGGCTCTGAGCCCCCCAGGCACTCCCTTTGACGCAGCCTTCTTGGGCCTGGGACCCTCTCCCCTCAGGGATGGCCCAGCCAGGAGTCTCTGTCAAGTCCCTTGTGTCATCTTATGAGACTCGAGTGGTGGGGATGGCTCCTGGGCCACCCCGAAAAAGGGGCTGTGTCTCTTCCCCTTGTTCCCCTCGAGGGGCATCTCCTATTCGAGGGGCATCTGGACCCTCACCCCACCGAGGCCTGGGGGGCCCAGGGCAGCGGCTTTCTGCCTGCCGGGGGATGGACAAAACCCTCCTTTCCCTGATTCTCTACTGTCACAGGTATGGGGGGTGTGGATGGAAGGCTGCAAGTAAAGGGGCTTTTGGAGGCCAGAGTCTGCTACAAGAAAGCAGCACTTGGGATGGCCCCTCCTCCTCACCTCTCACCTCCCTGTGTCTCTCCAGTGGCTCCGGAAGCCTGGTTGGCATTGACAACAAGATCGAACAAGCCATGGTAAGAGAAGCCATCTTGGTTCCCTGAGCTCTGCCCCAGCCTTCCTCTCCTCATTATCAGGGAACATAACTCCCAGCTCTGAGACCCACTACCTGCTGGGCTCCCTTGGGTTCTTTGCCCCCTGCTGTCTCCACCTCAGCCCTTGACTTTAATTGGCCTCTGTGTGTACACCGACCCCCATCTCCCTCTGTGAGTCCTGACTTTACCTCTGTCCCCTGTCCTTGTCCCCTACTCATCATTTCGGTGCAGGGGAAGCTCCCACACTCAGGCCCTCAGGGCACTGGGCAGGAAGATGGGGTGGCCTGACCCCCTGACACTTCCCATCCTTGGGCCCCTAGGACTTGGTGAAGTCCCACCTCATGTTTGCGGTCCGGGAGGAGGTGGAGGTGCTGAAGGAGCAGATCCGGGACCTGGCTGAGCGGAATGCTGCACTGGAGCAGGAAAATGGACTATTGCGTGCTCTGGCCAGCCCAGAGCAGCTGGCCCAGCTGCCTTCCTCGGGGGTCCCACGGCTTGGGCCCCCTGCGCCCAATGGGCCCTCCGTCTGAGCCTCCCTTCCCTCACAATGTGCCTTTGGGGCTGCCAGGCCTCGTGCCAGCTGCCTGCCCACTCTTCCTATGCAGCTTTAATGTCCCCTGGACCCCAGAGTGGGAGTTTAAGGCTCAGTACTGGCCTGTCCCACCATCCTACCCCAATCTCCCCTTTGTCCCCTTGATGGAGGACAGAGGGCTTCAAGATGGGGTGTTAGATGGAGCCCTTTCCATGAGGGATTCCCAGTCCCCCCTTCCCTCATTAGTACCCCCAGTGGTAGATGGCTTGGGGGACTTGGAGGCTCCCTGGCAGACACCCTATCCCCACCTTGTTCCCTCAAAGTGCCCCCTCTCCTCTGCCTAGGGGAGGGAGTATGGACAGTATCTGGAAGTTCTGGGATTCAGGTTGTTATTAAAATAATAATAATAATTAAAAAGTCTGAAGAAACTTGAATTTGGAGACTGACATCTGGTTGCTTGTATCAAGACTAGGGGTCTGTGCCTGCAGTTTGAGCTGCCCTGGGGATCCTTTCCAGATTGGGGAGGTTTAATGTGGCCAAGACGAGGGGTTGAGAGAGGAGGCAAAGGAGCCAGCAGTCCAGGTCCTGGGAAGGGGCAGGCAGAGGAGTGGGGTGGGGAGGCATCTGCCCACGTGCTGAGGGGAGAGGGAAACAATGGGGCCTTTGGTGGTTGTGCAGGATCCACCCCTAGCTTCCCAGTGTGTCCCCTCTGCGGGCTGAATCCGGGTGGCTGCTTGGGGGCAGGGCAGGGGACCCTGAATGGGCCCCTTGTCTCAGGGCTGGGTGTGGGCCAGGCTCTCTGGGCACACGGTGCCCTTGCCAGGCGTGGCCGGCTGCCATGACTTCCACCCCCAGCTGGCTGAGGACAGGCTCTGTGAGTGAGCTGGCCCCTCCTGACAGCCTGGGCTTGGGTCCCAGGCAGAAAAGTCAGCTAGGGAGAAGGACCCCACCTAGTGGGGAAGAGGGGAAAGCTCCTGCCACAGCCCTAGGAGGACCTTTGGAAGAGTAGAAGGGGTCCCTGGGAGGCTGACCTGGGTGGGACTCCCTGCCTTAAAGGTCCCTAGATTTATGACCTTGGACAAGTTCTTTGGTTTTTCTGAATCTCAGATTCCTCTTTGTAAAATGGCACTAACAATAATACCTACCTTGAATGGGCTGCTGTGAGGATTATGTGACATAATACATGGGAAATGCCTAGTGCACACCAGGTGGTCAATGTATGTTAGTTTCCTTTCCCTGGATCTGAAGGAAGAAAGACCAAGGGCTGGAAGGATTGGTTCCCTTGGTCCCGGAAGTGCCTCGGGGGTTGGGGTCCGGCCTGGCAGTTTCTCACAATGGGCTGGAACTCTCCCTCACTGTAGGTTCTTATCCACTTGACTCCTCTCCCTGTCCCAGGGAGGGGAGGAGAGGCCTGGGATAAGTTGCTGGAGTGGGCTTTCCCCTTATTTTTCTTATTTCTTTCTTCACTCTTGTGCTTGAAGCCCCTTGGCTCCCAGAATTCCCTTTGGGTGGCAGCTACTGCCTGTGACCTATCCCCCTCCCCGACCCTCACCTTCTAGGCTCTAGCCTCACCATACCAAATGCTGGCTCTGACCCCTACTTTGGGTTCATTCTACTGGGAGAGATGACTGTGGTCATGAGGTTCTTCCGATGGGTCAGGCGGGCTTGGCAAAGGATTACTTACTGGGTGAGTTGCAAAGACTCCCTTGACCCCAAGATGCGCTGGTCATTGACCCCTACCACATGGCCAAACAAGGCTAGAGATGGGACAGCTGGGAGGGGCTTGAGAGGAAGGAGGCTGTGGAGCTCACTGCCCTATCCCTTCTGTGCCACCCTCTCTGTGGACTGTCACCTCTGTTCTGCCCCTCTCTTCTCTGTGTCTTGGTTCTTAGGTTTTCTTCTGGAGAAAAAAAGTTAGGCCAACCATCTTAGAACACTCTGGCTTCAAGAAATATTCATTGAAGGGGGTAGAGAAGACTCCCAAAGTGGTTGAGACTTTCACGTTTATCCAGCTCCCCAAAGAGGATAAGCTCCCCAGTGTGGATGCATCCCCTGAGCTGGCTGAGCCCTGCGTGTTGGCCAAGACAAGAGACAGGACCAAGATGGAGCTGGGCAGTGAAGGCCGATCACTGCTGCGACTACCCCGGACAGCTGTCCAGTCTGTCTCCACACTCATGGTGTCAGCCCTGCAGACTGGCTGGCAAATGTGCAGCTGGAAGGTAGCACTGTCCTCCTGGTTTCCAAAATCCTTCCCACCCTCCCCAAACCCCAGTGACTCATTCCTCCCTCCATTCACTTGTTCAACAATCATCTCCTATGCTGCTACTGAGTTCCAAGCACTGAGGCAGAAACTGAGGATATAATGGTGAACAAGATTTCCAGACTTAGGGGTCTACAGACAAGATAAAAGGCATTGTTGATTTGTTATTCACACATGTTGGGTGTGACATGGGAGGTTGATGGAACTTTGGAAACCCATAGGAGGGCTTCTCCCCATCTAGACCTATGGAGTTAGACAAGTTAGAAGGTAGCATGAAGCTGAGACCTGAAGGAGTTAGCTTGGCTTGAGGGGATTGTTAGGGGGAGGGGGAAGGAGTGGGAGGAATGTTCTATGAAGAGAGAATAGCAGGTGTTTGTGAAGGTGAGCCAAAGCATGAGGGGAGAAATCCTGGAGCCAAGTGCCAGCTTATATAGGTAGGGTGGATACTTAAGTTGTGGCATTTCACCTTGACCTTAAGAGTGAAGGAAACCCTCACAGACATTTGAGAAGATGAGTGACATGATCAGATTTTGATTTAGAAAATTCACCTGTACTTATACCTTGCTGGTGGAATTGTAAAATGGTACATTTGGAAAAGAGTATGGTTATTTCTTATAAAACTGAACATGCAGTTATCATATGATCCAGCTGTTGTACTCTTGGGCATTATCTCAAATAAATGAAATTATTCACACAAAAACTGCATGTGAATGTTCATAGCTGCTTTATTTGTAATAGACAAAATCAACTCAAATGTCCTTCAGTGGGTGGGTGAATGGTTAAACTGTGAAACATCTATACCCTAAAATACTACTGAGCAATAAAAAGGGACGAACTATTGATACACGCAAAAACTTGGGTGTATTTCAAGAGAATTATACTGAATGGAAACCAACCTCAAAAAGTTATATACTGTATGATTCTACAAATTATATGCCATTCTTGAAATGACAAAATTGAAGAAATGGAGACTATATTAGTGGTTTAGTGGTTGCCAGGGGCTGCAGGGGGAAGGGTAGGAGGCCAACATGATAGATCCTTGCAATGATGAAAATCCATGTTCTGAATCTTGAAACTGGCAGTTGGATACACAACCCTGCACATATGCTAAAATTTTGTTAAATTAAATGCACACATCCGCACACCCCACTGAGGACAAGTGAACCTGGGGAAATCTGAATAAGATTAGTAGATCATATCAGTGTCAATGTCTTAACTATGATATAGTTTTGTAAGATTGTCCCATTGAGGGAAATTGGGTAAAGGATCTCTATAACTTCTCTATAACATGAGATCTCTAACTTCTTACAACTGCATGTCAATCTAAAATTATCCCAACATAAAAAGTTTAATTTAAAAAGGGAAAATATCTTGGTCATTACCAAAGCAGCTTATTTTGGTCTTGAATAAAGTATCACTGCATTATTAATAAGAAAATTTTTATCTGGCTGAAGGAGTTTTCAGGGGACAGGAGGCGCGTCAAAAAAATCCACTGGAGGCTGATGTAGTCCAGGTTAAGAGAGAATCCTTTTCTGGACTGGGAGGGAATGTTGACCATTGACCAATGGGACAGGGTAGAACAAAGTGCTTCTGATGGATTTGAAGCATATCTGGGAGGGAGAATTGTTGGGCTAGGTGGTTGACTGGATAGAGGTAACAAGGAGAGGGAGACACAGAAGTCACTAGGATGGAGAAGAAGGACTTAAGGGTAGAAGTGATAAGCTCAAGGAGTTGGGCAAGATGAGTTGTAACACTGATAAGACACTTGCATGGAGGTGTCTGGGAGGCAGTGAGATATACCGTCCCAGAGGTCAGGGAAGAGCTGCGAGCTAGAGACAGATTTGGGGTGTCCTCTGTTGTCCTTCATTTTAACATACTCTCCATGAAACTATGAATGGGGAAACCAAAGGTGGGTTAGACATGGGCGCGGTTTCCCAGGAGCTTGCATTCTAGTAGCTAAAACAGCCAAATTCTCAGGACAAAAAATGAAATGTGTTAAGATGGGGCAAGCACAAAAGTAGAAATGACAAACACTTAATGCAGCCCAAAAAGTCTTAATGGAGGAGGTAGGATTAGATGAGCCCTTTGCTGTTTACCTGTCTGTCATTCTGCCAGTAGTTTCAGCCTAGACCCAGCTATTTACATGTGCGTATCTTGTCTTTCTTTTTATAGTCATCTGTGAGCTCTGCGTCCATTACCTCCCAAATGATGACCCAGTCCCCTTTGCAGACACCGGAGGCTGAGTTGCTGCGGGAAGTGTACCTGGTGCTGTGGGCCATTCGGAAACAGTTACGACAGCTGTCTCGCAGGCAGGAGAGGCGCAAACGGCGCCATACTCGGACCCACACTTCCCCCCAACCTGAATCAGTTCAGTGCCTGAAACAGGATGCCCGAAGTCCCCTCTAGGGTGGAACCCCAGATCCTCAGAAAGCCCCCACCTCACTCTTAGGTAAGGTTGATAGGGAGTCAGGGCAGCAGGCCAGAAGTTGTGAGTGAGGAGATGTTTTCATACTGTCACCTTTTGTCGAGAGCCCAAGGCCAGGCCTGGGGGCCCACATACTCCCCTTTATTCTGTTTATTCAATTTGTAAAAAATTATCAAAATATTGGGAAATAAATATCAGTTATTTCTGAGTAGATGTAGAATGTGTTTGTGCACAGTCAGAGGCAATAAGAGGTGCCTGGATGGGCCAGGAAGAGGCACCCAAGGTAGGTGTCTGGGGAGAACAGAGGTGGTTACTAGGTTCTCTAGGCCTCAGACCCTTCTAGGGGCTGAAATTGTCTTTGGCAACTTTGCCAGGTGGTAAAGGACAGCAACAGCAGTACCTGGTGCCGAGACAGCTGCTCTCCCTAGCAATTCTATAAAAAAGGAATTTAGGGTGGGTTCTGGAACTGGTCCAAGGCCCTATAGTGGGATGCTGCCTGCTCCCAAAGCTAGCTTGCTGCCCTTCCTCTCCTGGGTTTGGCAGTGGGCTTGGCCTGGGAGGCTCTCCCATCTGCAGACTGTGCTGCCTGAGCCCGGCTGAGAGGAAACTACCAGCTGCCTTGCAGTCTTCATGCAAGAACACAGCGCCAGCCTGTGGCTGAGGTAGGGGTTGTAGCTTCGGTAGGCCCAGTGCAGGCTATGGCCCACTGAGGTGGGAGTCTGGGACAAGTGCCCCTGGCCTCTTGGAGG